GCTGGATCCACAAGAGGGAAGGAGAAAAGGGGGGAGGAAGAAAGGAGGAAGGAAAGAAGGGGCAACAGAAGGAGCAAAAAAATAAAAAGCCTGAAGGGAGTGGAGGAGGCTAATGGCGCACATACCACGCACCTTTCCTCCCTTGTGGATTTTTGATCCGACCTTTTTGTTTCCAAAACGTGAAGGGAGGGTTTGAAACCAAACTCCCGCCACCACGCGAGGAAAAGGGATCTGACAAAGGAAACGCGATCCTGAGGCCGGGACCGGTTTCGCAAACACGCACTCCCCCCACTTCTTTTCCCTTCCCCCGCTTTCCGCGTCCTCTATGAATAATAATTATTCTCCTTCAAGGCAGGAGGCTTGTCTCTTGGAAGGAGGAAGAGGAAGCGCGTGGGGTCCAAGAGGAGGAAGAAGAGAAGGCCTCGTCAGTGCCAAAGCGGGAATGGCGTGGGGCGGCGGAAGAGCGGTAGTAGCGTAAGGTCACGCTGCTCGTCTGTCCATTCATTCATTCATTCATCCACCCACCCGGCGGCTTTGGTGGGTTTTCGGGCTGCATGGCCATGTTTTGAAGCATGATCCCGGCCAGGAAAGCCTTCGACAATACAAAGAAGCTGCTGCCGGCTACCTTGTTCGCTCCCTGCTTCAGCCATGCGGGGCTGGAAAGAGCCCTAGCCTGAGGTCACGCTGCTCGCCTTATCCATTCATTCATTCATTGCCTTTGGAAGGAAAGAAGCTGCTGCCGGCTCCCTTCTTTGCTCCTTTTCTCGGCCATGCGGGGCCGGAAGGGGATTGGAGTCCCGCCCGAGCCCTCCTCCCACCCGAGCCTCGTGCAGGGAGCCCCGAAGAGCGAGGAGTGAAGGCAACGACCCCCCCCCCCCGCCCGCCGGGACGAAGACAAGAAGGCGACAGACCTGATGGACTGTTCCTCCCGGAAGGAGGAGGAAGGGCTTGAAAGAGGGAGGCCTCCAAGGCGGCCACTGCGAGAGCGCCCCAAGAAGCTGAAGGAGGGAGAGAGGAGGGGGTGGGGGTCTTTCTTGATGCCACTCCGGGGGGTCTGCAAAGCGGGGTTTCCTTGCTAGTCTCAAGGAACAGCTCGAAAGAGATACAGAAGGCGGCAACTGCGGGAGCGCCACAAGGAGGAGGAAGAGAGGAGGAGAAGGGGGAGGGGGTCTTGTGAGGGGTCTGCAAGCAAGGAACAGCCTGAGAGAGAGATACAGAAGGCGGCAACTGCAAGAGCCCCCCAAGGAGGAAGAGAGGAGGAGGGGGTGGGAGTCTTCTGAGGGGTCTGCAAGCAAGGAACAGCTTGAGAGAGAGATCCAATTGCAAGAGCGCCCCAAGAAGCTGAAGGAGGAAGAGAGGAGGAGGGGTGGGGGTCTTCTGGATGCTACTCCGGGGGGTCTGCAAAGCGGGGTTACCTTATTAGCGTGAAAGAGACACAGAAGGAGGCAACTGCGAGAGCGCCCCAAGAAGCTGAAGGAGAGAGGAAGGGAGGGGGTGGGCCCCTTTGATGGCACACCGAGGGGTCTGCAAAGCGGGGCTTCCTCACTAGTCTCAAGGAACAGCCTGAAAGAAAGACACAGAAAGAGGCAACCGTGAGAGCGCCCCAAAAAGTTGAAGGAAGAAGAGAGAAAAGCGGCAATTGCAACAGCGCCCCAAGAAGCTGAAGGAGGAAGAGAGGAGGGGGGGGTCCCTTTGATGGCACACCGAGGGGTCTGCAAAGCGGGGCTTCCTCGCTAGCCTCAAGGAACAGCTTGAGAAAGAGATCCAGAAAGCGGCAAGTGCGAGAGCGCCCCAAGAAGCTGAAGGAGGAAGAGAGTGAGGGTCTTCTGGATGGTAGTCCGAGGGGTCTGCAAAGCGGGGTTTCCTCGCTTGCCTCAAGGAACAGCCTGAAAGAGATACAGAAGGCAGCAATAGCGGGAGTGCCCCAAGAAGCTGAAGGAGAGGAGGGGGAGGGGGTGGGCTCCTTTGATGGCACACCCAGGGATCTGCAAAACGGGGCTTCCTCGCTCGCCTCAAGGAACAGCTTGAGAGCGATAGAAAGCGGCAATTGCGAGAGCGCCCCAAGAAGCTGAAGGAGGAAGAGGTGGGGATCTTAATGCCACTCCGAGAGGGGTCTAACTAGCCTCCCCTCCCCTTTCCCCCTCCCCCATGGCTTCCTTCCCGGAGCCGCACTTCCAGATCTGCCCGCTGTGCAAGGAGATGTGCGGCTCGCCGGCGCCGGCCTCCTGCAACAACTCCTCGTCATCCTCCTCCTCCTCGTCGCAGACCTCCGGAGGAGGAGGAGGAAGTGGCAACCCTGTTGGTGGTGGGCCCGGCGCGAGCTGCCCTTCCTCCTCCTCCTCCTCGTCCTCGCGGCGGCGCCTGCTGGTTCTGCCTTGCTTGCACGCCTTCTGCCGGCAGTGCCTCGAGGCCCAGCGCCAGCCCCCGCCCTCCTCCTCCTCTTCCTCGGGGGACGCCCCTCTCCAGCTGCGGTGCCCCCTCTGCGACCAGAAGGTGGTGATCTCGGAGCCGTCGGGCATGGACGCCCTGCCCTCGTCCAACTTCCTCCTCAGCAACCTGCTCGACGTCGTGGTCGCCGCCGCCAACAACGCCAACAACGCCAGCGAGGAGCAGAACAACGGCAGGCCCAGCGGACCCGGGGGAGGGCCCGGAGAGGGGCCCGGAGGAGGAGGAGGAGGAGGGGGGAGCAGCACCAACAACAGCAGCAGCAGCGCCAACAACAACCGGCACCACCAACACGCCCGGCAACAGCAGCAGCAGCGCCCGCCTTCTTCCTCCTCCTCCTCCGCCAGCGCGGGGGCTTCATCGCCGGGCTCGTCGTCGCTGCTGCTGCTCCGGAGGCCGCACAGCCGGCAAGGCGGGGATCCCCGGTGCAGCTCCTGCGACGAAGGCAACGCCGCCAGCGCCCGCTGCCTCGACTGCCAGGAGCACCTCTGCGACAACTGCGTGCGCGCCCACCAGCGCGTCCGCCTCACCAAGGACCACTTCATCGAGCGCTTCGGGCCCGGCGCCGCCCCGCAGAGCCAGAGCCTCGTCGCCGCCGCCGCCGCCTCCTCGTCCTCCTCTTCCGTGGGGCCCGCCTCGGCCCTCGGCTCGCCCTACAGCATCCTCGCCGCCGCCTTCCCGGACCGGGCCAGCTACTGCCAGCAGCACGACGACGAGGTAAGAGAGAAAGAGAGAGAGAGAGACCCCACTTTGCCCCCTCCCTCAACGCGCCTCAGGCTGCGAAGGCCTCTCCTCAGCATTACTATTGTTGTGAAGCGCGTGGTGGCAAAGTGTTCGCCTTCGAAGCTTGCCTCACTTATGGCGACCCTGAGGCCAACTTAGGGTCCACCCGAAGGCCTCCTCATAGGCTTGTGGAGAGGCGGGTCACGACACTTATTGTTCTGTGTTATGGTATATATGAGGTATGGGCCAAGTTGGGTCCTCCCACCATTCCCAACAGCCTCATACTCTTTCCTTTTCCCCCTCAGCCGCTTCAGCTTTGGACTTCAACTCCTATAATTCCCAACAGCCTCACCCCTCTTCCTTTTGCCCCTCATGCCCTTAAACATTGGACTTCAACTCCTACCATTCCCAACAGCCTCAGACCTTTACTCCCCCCCCCCCCGCCACTTAAACGTTGGACTTCAACTCCCAACCTTCCCAACAGCCTCAGACCTTTTCCTTTCCCCCCTCAGCCGCTTAAATGTTGAACTTCAACTCCCACCATTCCCAACAGCCTCAGGCCCTTTGCTTTTCCTCCTCAGCTGCTTCAGCATTGGACTTTAATTCCCACCATTCCCAACAGCCTCAGACCCTTTCCTTTCCCCCCTCAGCCGCTTAAACGTTGGACTTCAATTCCCACCATTCCCAACAGCCTCCTTTCCCCCCTCAGCCACTTCAACATTGGACTTTAATTCCCACCATTCCCAACAGCCTCAGACCCTTTCCTCCTCCCTCCCCCCCCAGCCGCTTCAGGTTGGACTTCAATTCCCACCATTCCCAACAGCCTCAGACACTTTCCTTTCCCCCCTCAGGTGCTTCAGCATTGGACTTCAGCTCCCACCGTTCCCAACAGCCTCACCCCTCTTCCTTTTGCCCCTCATGTGCTTAAACATTGGACTTCAACTCCTACCATTCCCAACAGGCTCAGATCCTTACCTTTCCCCCCTCAGCCGCTTAAGCTTTGGGCTTCAACTCCTACCATTCCCAACAGCCTCGGATCCCTTTCTTTTTCCCCTCATGTGCTTAAACATTGGACTTCAACTCCCACCATTCCCAACAGCCTCAGACCCCTTCCTTTTTTCCCCTCAGCTGCTTACACTTTGGACGTCAACTCTCACCATTCCCAACAGCCTCAGGCCCTTTCCTTTCCCCCCTCAGCCGCTTAAGGAAGGGGCCTGAGGCTGTTGGCAATAGTGGGAATTGAAGTCCAAAACACCTGGAGGGCCCAACTTGGCATCTACCTCATATATATCAACACCATTATTATTATCTCCTCCCAGCCTATTATTAATCTTACTATTCATTCCAAGTCTTTCCCATGTGCGTGCCTCTTGTCTGCTTTTATCGGCATTTCTGACTTATGGCGACTCTTAAGGCAAACACCTCTCTCTTGCTCTCTGGGCTCCCAGTAACAAATATAATTGATTTTTTTAAAAAAAATGTGTCAGGAGCAACTTGAGAAACTGCAAGTCGCTTCTGATATGAAAGAAATGGCCGTCAGCAAGGATGTTGCCCAGGGGACGCCCGGGTGTTTGGATGTTTTATCCTTCTTGTATGAGGCTTCTCTCATGTCCCTGCATGAGGAGCTGGAGGCTCCCAGTAACAAATATAAATGATCAATAGTTTTTGGTGTGTGTGTCAGGAGCGACTTGAGAAACTGGAAGTTGCTTCTGGTGTGAGAGAATTGGTCATCTGCAAAGATGTTGCCCAGGGGATGCCCAGGTGTTTGGGTGTTTTATCCTCTTTGTGTGAGGCTTCTCTCATGTCCCCTCTTGTGAAGCTGGAGGCTCCCAGTAACAAATATAATTGATCAATAATGTTTTTGTGTGTGTGCATCAGGAGTGACTCAAAAAACTGGAAGTCACTTCTGGTGTGAGAGAATTGGCAGTCTGCAAGGACATTACCTAGGGTGTGATTTTTACCATCCTTGCGGGAGGCTTCTCTCATGTCCGCGCATGGGGAGCTGGAGCTAACAGAGGGAGCTCATCTGCACTCTCCCCAGATTTGAACCTCCAACCTGTCTTGCCTTATCAGGTTTAACCCATTGTGCCACCGGGAGCTCCACTGATTAATAATAATAATAATAATAATAATAATAATAATAATAATAATAATACATGTGTGAGTGTGTACTTTGGAGCTGCTGCCACGCAACGTGGTGAGCCTTGAGAGCAAGTCCTTGTTTGTCTGACTTAGGGTGACCTGAAGGCAAATCTAACTTTGGGTGACCGGAATGCAAATCTTTGTCTCCATGTGTATATTTGACGGAAATATGCTTGAATATTTTTGACAATTGTGTGTTTTACCCATGTTGTGTCCCACCTCAAGCCTTGAGAGGCAGGTAACTCATAAAATATATTAGCATTCTTAGTATTGCCCATGTGGTTGCCTGAATTTCTGACTTATGGAGACTCTAAGGCCCCTTCCACACAGCTGAATAAAATCCCACATTGTCTGCTTTGAACTGGAATATATGGTTTTTTGACAATTTTGTGTTTTAACTATGTTGTGGCCCACCTCAAGCCTTGAGAGGCAGGTAACCAATAAAATGTATTGGTAGTAGTATTAATAGTATTGCCCATGTGGGTGCTTGCATTTCTGACTTATGAAGACTCTAAGGCCCCTTCCACATGGTTGAATAAGATCCCACATTGCCTGCTTTGAACTGGAATATATGGCAGTGTGGACTCAGATAACCCAGTTCAAATCAGATATTGTGGGATTTTCTGTCTTGATATTTTGTGTAATACGGCTGTGTGAAAGGGTCCTAAGGGAAACTCCGGCTGTAAGGAGAGGTGGATAAGAAATTAAATGTATTATTGCTGCTGTTGTTGTTGTTATTGCACGTTTGAGTGTCTGTTGTGGAGTTGGTACTAAGCAAGGTGGTGGGCCTGACCTTAAGGTAAACATCTGTGGCAGTCTACCCTGAGGAGAGACAGCTAACAATTATTGGCAGTATTTGTTCAGAGGGAGGCAGCTATTGCCCTCCTCTGAGACGGAGTGTGAGTTGCCCAAGAGGCTGGATGGCTATCTGTTGGGGGTGCTTTGAATGTGATTTTCTTGCTTCTTCCTGGGGGTTGGACTGGATGGCCCATGAGGTCTCTTCCAACTCTATTATTCTATGATTAGCAAACACCTCATGAGTTTCCATTGCCAAGCTAGAATTCAGACCCTGGTCCAACACTCAAAATACACACTTTGATGGCTTTGAGGATAACTTCCCACCTTTAAGTAGTAGGATGTGAGGTATTGGGACTCTGAGTCTTAGGTAGTGGTCCTTGGCCCCTTCCCCCTGGTATTTTGAGGTACTCCATTCAGTGGAAGGAGGAAAAGGTGTGGTCTGAGCTAACTGAAAGAGAAAGACTTTGCTTTGCACACGTGCTGTTGAGGTCTGGGGCTGAGACCCCCCCCCCCTCCCATGAGTCCTTAGCGGCCATAGCTGACTGTGTGGCAGTGGTCGTCCTCCCCCCCCCCCCCCCCACCATTGCAAGTATAAAGATGGGCTTTTTCATCTAGGCACAAACATCCATCTTGGATCAACTTTGCCTAAAATATGGGATGCTTCCAGCGAGGTCTCCATTTGCTGCATGAGATATTTTAAATTTTTGGATTCAGTAAGCAAAGTGGTTCAAATGACTCTGGAGACTAGGATTTGAATCCTCAGTTACGAAACCTACTGGATGACTGTGGGCAAGGCATAGTCTCTCAGCCTCAGAGGAAGGAAATGGCAAAACTGAGTTGTGAGTTTCCAGGCTGTATGGTTATGTTCCAGAAGCTTTCTTTCCTGACGTATCGCCTGAATCTATGGCAGGCATCCTCAGAGGTTGTGAGGTGGCAAGACCTCTTCTGAACTTATCTTGCCAAGAAAACATTTGTGATACGTTCGGAAATGCCTGAGAGGCACACAACAACCGTATTCAAGGCATGTTCGTGTCCCGAGTCTTTGTTAGTGATTAACAAAGCTACTGCTGCCCTCCTCCAGAAGCAAACAGGATGCTGATTCCAAACACAAATCAGTAATCCAAATGTAGTTCAGGAATATACTAGTTTGAGGGTGTTTTTTGTGACATTCTCTAATTGACTTTTCAGTGTTGGGAGGATTATTAAAATATGCTTTAAATATTACTTCTTTCACACAAAGGCTCAAATGGTTAAAAAAATGCTACTGCCATGATAGCAAGGATACATCATGTGTCTATTTTACACATTTCAGCCAATGGATAACGTTTGTAACCATGTTTCTTGAATATAAGACTTTTTATATCTGGGAGGTCTAGAGACAGTTGTATCAGTCTTTTGAGAGCGGCAGAGACCCATTTATTTTCTGCGGAGCTGTCATGTTCTTGCTGCCCCCTCACCCCACCATTTACCGGGATGGCCCTTCATTTCCAGGACATCTGGACCCCTTAAGTCCCTTTTAAAATCTTTCATTCTTTCATGCCTCTCCTTTGCCGCCCTGGCTGGTTCCACTACTTAGTTCCCTCTTTCTTCCATGCTTTGTTCACGTGGAGCTGTCCATGCTTAACTGGAGGAAATCTCCATAGCGCTCTGCAAAGTCGCAGGATTTTTGCATGTGCTGCAAGGATGTGGGGGATGGATGGCCAGGAGTGTTAAAAACAACACAGAGCAGAGGAGGGGGATGTGGCACATTGGTGTTATCTGTTCCATTTGGCCATTCTTTGAAAAACAGGACCGTCTACCATGTTTATGGCAATGGGGAGGGAAGTATAGCATACATACTGATATAACCCTTAAAAAAATTAAAAAGCTAGAACACCTTTCCCCCATCTTTGCTGGAAGTCATCTATCAGCTTAATAGTTGTTCCCAGCATTACAGAAGCATTATCTAACACTTAATCTGCTTCAAAAGGGGTTTTACCCCCCTTTCCCTTGAATTAGGAGGCATATGTTGAGCTGATAGCTATATTTGTCACCTTATTTGTTAGCTCTTGTTT